CCTGGCCATGTCTGCAGCCTCTGGACTGAGCCAGAGTGGAGCCCAGCTCTGTTTGTACCTGTAAACAGCACCAGTTATGTCTATGAAGAATGCAGCCCTGTGCACGCCGTGTTTCTCCCTGGTCCCTTACCCCAGCCATGTTACCAGGCAGAGAACACCTCCGAATTACAGAAAGGTCGTTCCTCTCCCCAAATCTCCCCTCGTGTGACGGAGTCCTTGGCACACTGGGGGCTGCTGGGGACCGGGATGTTCCTCGCCCCGTGCGGGTCGGGCGCTGCGGGACCCTCCAGGCCGTTTCAGCACCTTGGTCAGGGCCGCTTGGGGCTCGGCGTCGCGACTGGGGATGGACCGCCCCCAGCTGCACATCTGGGGCGGCTGCGGCTTTGGTGGCACATCTGGGGCGTGGGATGCACATGTGGGATGCACACGTGGGCGCTCTGATGTGCTGTTAGGCCTTCGGTCTGCACTGCTGGAGGCTGGGACTTCCGACTGGCTTCCCGGCTCATCTAACGATATGTTTTGTGCCCCCGAATGTGCCGTGTAGCTCCCTCACCTCCAATTCCTGTGATCATTAACAGGGTGGTGGAAGATGTAATAAATGCAAACAGTTAGTAAATTAATATTTAGAGATTGTGCACTGACTTATAACAGCTGCTGTGGCAGTTTCAGCCAACCATACCAGTATTACAGCTAGTTTGTGAGTAGGATTTTTGAACAAATTAGGGAAAACGGGGACCTCAGACCTCCCAAATCTTCATGCCCCTACTGATTTTATAATCCATTGCTTGTGCACCATTAGTATACTGATTTCCTTGGGCTGCGCTGCATGTAAATATTTAGCCTTGGAATAATTAAACGATGCACAACTAATGAAGCGGGGGAATGACTAGAGAGATGGCATTTTAGGTGAATCACAGCTCATTCCCCAGATTATTTATAGACTGCTCTCTCTTTGTGACAGGATGTCAGCTACCTGGCAACAAGCCGGAGTGTTTATGAATCACCCAGTAGACTTATTGTGGTTTCTAGAGGAAGGCAGAAGAGATTAGGGAAGGCTCACTTTGTATCTTTTCATAAGCAATAAACAAACTCGCATTCCAGTGAAAAATAAATCTCACTGGCCCCAGCTGGTGCATGGTTACAAATAAACCTGCTCATATCAGAAAGGAAAGCTAGTGAGTAACACAGCTTTACTTTTGTTGTCAAGCATAGCTGACTAACTAGAGGTTTGAATCCTCTACTTGTGCTTTTCTCTCTCCTCTTCAGCCTCTTTGCACGACACCTCAGTGCCATTTTACAATCCATCATTTCAGAGCCAAAACCAGGAGAACTCGGTGTACTACGCTGGCTCAGGTTGCCCTGAATCGGGATTCTCAGCTACCTGAGAAAGAAGATGTAAGTCTATTAAGTGAGAGAGCCTGATGCTGCAAAAATAACAGGAGAAATGCACAATACCTCCCTCTGTCTGACTAATTTCGTAGCATGGAATCTATTTCTGAGTCAAACCAATGATAGGTCACTGCGATCTGCTATGCAAGCCCAGGCTGAAATAAGCATCTCTGTCGGTATCTTTGCCTCTGTCATGATCAAAAATTGCACCTCCTTGTGTGGATGCTTGTGCTTGCAGGAAACATAGATCCCTTTTGGTGCTCTGCAGAGGTGTGTAGGTGCCAGGTGTGGTGTGAGCAAAAGATGAAGTGAGCAGAGAGAATTACATTAATTGGATGTTAAGTTTTACTAGATATAACTTAATGACACTGGTAAAATTGACATTTACATATAATCATGGTCTCTTTCAATCACAAAAATCATTAGCATCAACATATTAAGTGTTAAATTAACTTCCATTTCTATTAGCATACCTTTCTAAAACCACGGACTGTTTTAAAGTGTGCAGCTGCACGTGTTACATTCGTGTAGTAATGCAAACAAACTTCAGATAAAAAAATAAAACAAATATGTTAATACAAAATGGATATTTACAGCTGATGGAGTTCACCACTGCCCAAAGAACCTCCCTGGGCCATTCAAGTCACACTTCCCCATGCTGGAGGTGTATGTGCCTTGGCAAGAGGGAACTCCTCACAGTCTGCAGCAGCAGGGATTGTGTTTTCTTGTTAAATTGTTCTGAACTGGTCCAGTAGTGGATTCCATAGAAACCAAAGCACAGAAACAAAGCGTAATACTACAGGCAGCACCCAGGGCTTCTGCCTCCTGCTCTCTCCTAGCTGTCTGACTTGTTCTTGAAGCTACGGGAACAACTCTTCATCCCTGTTATCTCCTGGCTACACAGGTGTGATGCCTGTGTGAAGAACAAGACACAGCACATCAAACCAGTACCAGCCCAGCCAGTAACCGTCCTCCATATCCCACCATCTGACAGTAATCTGCCCTAAGACATCTTCAATCTCTTGCTTGTTTTCTATATCTATCATACCTGCATGAATGCAGGGTTTTCAGAGGAACTGGGCAGTTTAGAGTGAGCTATGCTGACTAAAGGCACTTTTTTGGCAACAGGAGCAACATGTATCTACAGGAATGGTTCATCACTGGTACTTGTTTGTCCTCAACAGAATTGCACCTCTGAACTCAGCAGGAGTATTCTAAAGAAACAAAACAGCAGAACGGTCTCGTTCCTCACCTCAGGGCTGTCTTGCTGTGGGTTGGTGTTAGACACAGAGCAGCTCATTTCTATTGTCCTTTGTGATAACTCAGGAGCTACAGATTCAAATAATGCTGTCAGGAAAAAAATAAATCAGCCCAAGTTATTGGCTAAAGAGCTTTGGAGATTTTTTTCTATTCCCTTTGCAGTGTTCTCCCCACTACAGTGATCAGCAACGTTATTAACACAGAGACCTTTGCTCCAACAGTTGTCTAAACCATAATTTTAAGTTTGTGTGTGTAGATGAGGAGCACCCAGCAGCTGACAGGGGCAGCACCATGGGGTCCTCTGCCCCAGTGAGCTGCAGTGAACCGGGCCCAGACAGAAATCCCTGCCACAGGACTCAACACCTTCATGCTGAGTAAAATTGAGGTACTCACAGGAAAAGAAGAGCATCCATTCAGGTGAATTATTCATTCAGCTATTCACTTACATCTATAATTTATTTGCTATGAGACCAGGGGACAGCCACCCCTTTACAAAGGCTGGCAAGGGTTCACACATCAGTTTGTACTGAAGCCCTGCTTTGAGGTTGTACCAAAGAGCTGACACTTCTGTTCTGGCTCTCGGCAGGAAAAGTTCTCCCATGCAGCGATATAAAAATGTGGAAAGGAAATGTCAAACAGGTGGAAAGCTTTTTCTCTCTCTTTTGAGGAAAAAACAGTGCTTTAATATTTGCTGACAGGACAAATGTACTTATTACTGCTGCTGACTCCGTAGCACTGAAGTACATTAAGTAACAGCATCCAATAGTGTGGGAAAACACAGACAGATCTTTCTGTGCTTATGTTTTACAGCTGTTTTGAAGGATGGATGTTTGTTTGTTTGCTTGTTTAGGGTTTGGTTTTTTTGGTGGGGTTATGATTTATTTTTAAATCCAGTGCAATAATGCTCACAATCAATGCTTTCAAATTGCCTGTTCTGGAAGTCTGCTCCATCGCTGACTTTAAAGTAACTTCTCAGAAATACAGAGTTTGCTTATTTAAAAGTCTTTTGAGAAATCACTACTGCTCCTGATAGAGAATTCCAGATACTGCAATTCTAAGGCACAAGAGGCTATTTAGGAGCTACTTTTATCCTCTAAAAAGAAAGGAATATCCAGTTTTCTATAGGAAAAATAAGACACTGGAAGGAAATCCTCAATTATGGTTGTTTTTACATAAGTACTTTCTTAATGTGGGACAATTCTGAAAGCAAGGATAACCAAATCACTCTATTTCCAATACTTAGGCATCAAACTAGTGTCAAGGAGAAAACAAAGGTAACACAAACCATTACTGGTGAGCTTACTTCATGTCAGTTGACCTCATATCACCAGTGGTGTTACTGAAAGTCCTCTGCAGCGCCACAGCACCTTCTCCAGAGGTTTTTAAAGCATTCATAAGGTAGTGATGATCACAGCTTCATCCCACCCCTGCCTGACAGAGACACTCACCAGTGGTGTTACTGAAAGTCCTCTGCAGTGCCACAGCACCTTCTCCAAAGGTTTTTAAAGCATTCACAAGGTAGTGATGATCACAGCTTCAGCCCACCCCTGCCTGACAGAGACATGGAGAGGCAAGAGCTGGTGCTGGAGGTTGTGGTTCCCAAAGACTCACTCTTAACCACTAAGTGCTGCTGTCTCCCCACACCGGGAGAAACACTTTCCAAAGGAAGCGTGGGGTTACGGGAAGAGAAGGAAGCAGTCCTGACATGGGCTGACGTTGATTCCAGAATAAATCTGTGTGCTTTCAGAGGTCAGGATAAGGAGTTCAAGAAGTCATTCATTAGAAAGAAAATCTCCAGTTTCATAAGTGCAGCCCTTGATGTTGCAAAAAAGCCCCACTGAAGCCACAAAAGTTGCTTATGAAGCCAGCAGTGGCTCCTTTTTATAAGGACTTCCAACATCAGGCAGGTAAACATAGAAGAAAATCCATCCAAAGATGAGTGGGATGCTGCAGGCAGGGGGAACTGCAGAGATGCTGCAGAGAAAGAAGTGCTCTGGGAGTACATTACCCACAGATGAGAAAATCTCTGCCACTAATGCCCTGGGCCAGGGCCTCAGCTGGTGATGGCAATGCCATTACAGCATCCCCCGTTCTAGTTCCTGCACCGGGGCTCAAACTTTTGAACACATTTTATCTGATGTAAAATACCTTTAAAACACAGTGTAGTAAAGTCTCTTACAGCAGAAAATCCCCTGAACTTACCGAATCACTTGTAATTAAGTAGCTTCTAGGCAATAGAAGCAAATTGTGTTTATTTTGAGGCATCATCAAAGAATATGACAGCACCATGTGACTGCAGGTATCTGTCACTGCCTCCTATATCCCCTACGATGACCCTCGATGCAGGTGCATTATTCAGCCTGCTTGGGCACCCAGGTGAATCTCCAACCTCCATCATCATCCCTGCGCACGAAGGCTTGTCCTTGGTGGAAGGTGTGCGTTCTCACATTGCGGTGGGGACTCAGGGACGTGGTGAAGGCCACTTCTGTTTTGTTGGGTGACAAATCGCCACTCAGATACGGCAATCCATAGGCTGGGAGGGAAGAAACACTTGGCACCGATGAGGAGACGCATGGGGCTGAAGGAAACTGAGGAAGGAAGGCAGGGTCCTTGCTGCATGGATGGGTGCTGCTGTCGGCTGGAGGCATGTGGCCAAAACTATACGATGCTGCAGCTTCTTCGCTGTTGTCGCAGTCTGTTGCTTCCCCAGGGCTCAGGCAGTACGTGTCTTTTCCAAGGTGTGGGGACAGGGCACTGTAGTTAGCTGAAGTCTCATCAATGGTGTTAACATCTTTTAATCCTAAAGTCTGCAAGACCCAGCTGTCCACAGCAGGGCTGGCTTGCTCTTCACAGGCAGTGAACTCATTGAAGAGGTTCCTTCTAGCTTTGGAAGCATGAGGAGTTTCCTGAGGAACAAAGCAGTGGTCCTCTTTTAATCTCCTCTTGGTGCTTTTGAGAATGGCACAGTTTTTTTGGCCTTGGGAGGATAATAATTTCTATTAAAAAAAAAAGGGGGGGGAGAGAGAAGATTAAAGTCTGAATTTCTGGTTACCTGGAAGCAATGTGGTTCTGATTTCAGATTTTAGACGGGCAAGATGGTTACTACCGTCCTTATAAAACATACTTTTCCTTCCTGTGCTTAAAGGTATGGGTATGACTAATTATTTTGTGTCTTTACAGTCTCTGCAACAACCCAATCCCTGAAAGAGAAGGATTTGACAATGTCAATAAGGCCCGTGCTTTGACTGCAATCTCACTCAGCACGGCGTGAAATGAGAGCTCCCTCCTGGCTGTCAGCGCTCCTCCGTGCTGCTGCTGCCAGCAGCGTTTGGCAGGTGAGCAGGGTATGGGGGGGAACGTGGCACCCTGACAAAAAGGGAGGATGTGAAGGTAAGTCACACTGGGCAGGTGCGGTCCTGACCTGCTCAGAGCAGCAAATTGAGTGCCTTCGAGCAAATGAATCCACTTCATTTGCCATTATCTCAGGACAAGCACCCTTCAGGCATCCAGGGACAGCCAAAGAAAGGCAGGAATAAGAAGGAAGTTCCCAACCTCCCTTGGCAGTGTCACACTGGACTCTCCTCCATGGGACGCAGATGGGTGGCCATGTCTCCAAAAATGTCTTTAAGTTGACAAGAAACAATCATCTTTCTTTTGGAATACAGAATCAAAATATTTAATTTTTAAAACCCCTTCACTTTTAGTTTAACAGAATGTTTCATCCCTTTCTGTTTTAAACAGAAGCGTTTAAAGTTGTATTTCACCTTTAAAAAAAACGCAATTTTTTAATTAATTAATTTGGAAAAAAATTAGAAAATCGGTATTCTAACGTAAATGAATCAAATGTACCATTGGAAGGCGTCAAAACAAAACACAAACCAGAAAGGACCCAAAACATAAAAGGAAAAAATAATCTTTATCTAAAGGGATAATTCACAAAACAGACACATTCAAGAAATGTATGTTCAAATTCGAACTTTTCACTGAAAAAAAACTTTAGATGGAATGAATTGACCTTGCTTATAACCTTAACTTACTTATAAACTAAGCTTAATTATGCCATGGGCTATACCATCTCCACAGTCAGAAGTTGATAGGACGTCATTCCTAGGGGAAACCGTCACCTTGGACCCATGACCTGCAACCTGGCAGCTCTGTGAAGTTCAATACATCTCCCACAGCAGGTTGTCTGCGCTCTCAGACTTCCCACATATTTTAATGGCAGGTACCTATTCAACCCGTTTCTTCTGCACACGTCTGTGCACCAGGTTTGAACACAATACCTTGGCTTTTTCTTCTAAACACTTAATCAGGGCAGAATTCAGGTATTGTCGCAGGTTATTATTTTCTTCGTGTAACCGAGCAAGTTCCTCTTCCTTCTGAAGCAAAGTATCTTGAAGCTGTGGAGTAGAGATATTGATGAATAGGTGTTGACTCTGTAACTTAATAGCAATCGCCCTACGGTACAGGCTGCTTGGATTTGATGATCTGGGTGTTTGCTTTGTGAATTCAACCCACCCCCCTCCTCTTGTCTCCGTAAATCTGTGGCATTGACTGTTCAGTTGCCACTTTTGACTGCCATTATTCTTTAGTGAGTATCTGAGAAGATTACTCTGAAAAAAACACTCTGTAACTGCAGAATAGTAACAGAAAAAAATTAGAGGTAGCAGTGAACAGCCAGAAACCACCCTGGGCATGACAGCAGCTGCCAGATCTCCAGAGTGGCCGTAAGCATCCCTGTGCACCCCTTTCATTTCCACTTATAGTTGGCCAGTGGGGAAAAGGAGAAGGAGGAGCTGCAGACTAAATATCTATGGGGATAGAGTGCAGAAGGAAGATACAACGGCCATTCTTTACTATACAGTGGTACTCAGGGATCCCTTCAAGCCTGGACACTACTGTGCCAGTCCCAGGCTGAAAACCACTGATTTAAATGATTGAGGTAGAGGAAGGAAGAAGGACACTGATGTCTGGAACTGGGGTTTGGTTCCAGGGACCCTGAAGTTGGTAAACGTTTCCATTGACTTCACTGTCAAAACGTCACTCCAAGGATTTGATCAGAATGATCTCTCTGGGGTTCCTTCAACTAGGACTGTTCAGAGTTTCTCCTGCCCCTTGATGGGACTTAGAAAAAAAAGGAAAGAAAAGAGAAAATAAAGTAACATGGAAAAATGCGTGTTGGTCAAAATGGTTGAGCCACCTTATAAGCAGGTAATCCTGGTGGACTCATGAGGATGCACGTTACGTATTTTTAGTCAATAGCATGAGGCTCTGCATCATCAGAGCCCTGGTCGTGCCTTGGTCTCCTCTAGCACCAAGAATTACCAAGGTGTAATATGCTGTAAGACGGGACAGCTGTTGCTGAAGGGACACAATGGTTGTTTCAGCTTCCTGGGAAACACGGCGGAGGCAAATACTTCAAGCGAGGCACAAAAACCTTCCAAGCAAAGCTGGTTGCCACCTTTTCTCACATCCGAGCCAGCGAGAAGGAGACAACCGAGTTGTTGTGCTACACGATGCAAAGCTCAGGGACCTGGAGGGAAGACACCGAGGTTGGGGTCGGGGGCGCGGAGCCCTTACCTGCTTGTTCCTGTAGAGCTGCGAGCGCAGCTGCTCCCCCC